GATATGACTCTGACTAAAGAAAACAGGTCTTTGAGGTGGGCACAGCTGCCCAGCGTGCACCACCAGCACTCAGGAGAGGAACTGAATCTCCGTGTAGTGTATACCTGCTTATACCCCTGAACCACATCAACAGTGGACCCAGAATGTTCTAGGGGTACCACTGTTACCCTTGCTGTCTGTGGGTCTAGGGGTACCTCTGTTACCCTTACTGTCTGTGGGAGGCAGCACGGGCTCACTTGGGGGTAGTGTCACTCTGCTGGAGAAATGGCATTTCCACAGGAGGCTTTATTTGGTGCCGTGGCATATGGTGAAATGTCACCAGAGTCCCTCAGCAGGCTTACCTCTTCCATCTGAGAGTCATGCTGTAAGCTGTGTCTCTCTTGAAGGAAGCCGACCCTCATTTCATGTATGGAAGGACTTCTTTGTCTTTGGCAGTTCTGCACTGTTTACATTTTTTGTCCATTTTTCTAATCGATGAAGTTGCAGACACTTTTGTTTTTCCCACTCCTGAATCATAAAGGGGTACTTTATGTCTTCTTGTACTTGGATTCTTTTCCCCCCTCTCTCCTTCCTTCCCTCCACCCCTCTTTCCTTCCTTCCTGCTCGCTCTCCCTTTCTTTCTTTTGTCCTTGTTTGTTCATGTTTGGTTTTGGTTCAGTTTTGTTTCGATCCCAAATGCACTTGGGTTTATTTATCCTCACTGCTGGGTAAAGAATGGGTCTGATTTTATTTTGTTTCCCATGTGGCTTTACAGTTACTCCAAAACTCCTTACTTGAGGTATCAGCTTTAGCACAGAGCAGTCTCTCAAAGCATTAGAAGCGACTCCTCCTCTAACTATAAAAAAGTATGTTTCTTCTGTAAAGTTTCTGGCATGCCTAAGGAGAGAAAAGCCTAACGTTGAAATTTCTCTTTCTGTGACATTTTTGAGTTAGGGGTGTCTGTGTGTTCTGGGGCTTCTAATACAGTGTATACCTGCTTATACCCCTGAACCACATCAACAGTGGACCCAGAATGTTCTAGGGGTACCACTGTTACCCTTGCTGTCTGTGGGTCTAGGGGTACCTCTGTTACCCTTACTGTCTGTGGGAGGCAGCACGGGCTCACTTGGGGGTAGTGTCACTCTGCTGGAGAAATGGCATTTCCACAGGAGGCTTTATTTGGTGCCGTGGCTACTAAGTGTCGTCCCCAAGGCCAGGGCAGTGAGGATGCCCATCACCCCGAGGCACAGATGTTTCTGAACCTCAGTGGGGCGGGTGTGGCAGTCGTGTTCGAAGAAGCTTCCTGAGTGATTCTGGGATAAGGCCACTCTGTCCACTTTGGATTGGAAGGGCTGCCTTGGGGTGGGGTGGATTGCAGGTCAGCCCTGCTGGGCCATCTGCATTGTGTGTCAGCGTTTTGCTTCCCCCAGCCGTGTTTGTCTTTCAGATTTTCTTGGATCAGAAAACCAGTTGGCGAGGCTTCCGGTCCAGACTTGTAAAGAGATAGAAGCATCACCTCTGTTACCTTCTGTTCCCCAAAGCAGCCTGCTGGTGCCACCCTTCTTATTCATCAGCAGGCGTTCCTCTCCGTCCTCCCTGGAGCCTTCCTTGTCTCTAAGGCTGTCATTTCCAGCTCCCGCCTTAGGCTGCTGGAGCGCTAGCCACACACAGAAATGTAGATAATGGGATCGATTCAGGCGTTAACACAGGGACAGCTCATCTTCCTCGTAATTCTTGGGTGGAGGGAGGAGGTATATTTGTATGACAAGGTAAATAATCCATTTCTAATCTTTACTGATCCCTCCAGAGATGATGAAGGCAAGCCAATTTAAAGAGTCAAACAACAAAGAAAAGAAAAGAAAAGTACCTTGAAAAACAGTGCAAGATTCTGGACAGATAATATAAAAACAGCATTTTCCATAGCTTTATTCTCAAATGGTATATGCAGTTAGAAAGAGACATCAGAGCCTTAAATAAGCCTGTAAGGTATTCCTGAAATCCCAGGATCCAGGCAGCTCCCCTCCCACCCCCACCCCCACCCATGTAGCTGAGAGTGTGTGTGCGTGCACATACTCATGCTTTACCAACCCTGCACTGAATTTGCGGCCTGCTTCCTTCCTGTCTCGCCACCCATACCCATCCCAGAACTGCAAGAGAAGGATCTTTTTAAGGGCAAATCTAGGATAGTCCTTTCTGCTAAACAGTCCCACCCCACCCACAGCACCATGCTTATCCCCCTAGAGCCTGTGGATGCTCCCCCTGCCACGCCCACACTCATGGTCCAGCCCTACTGGCCTTTCTGCCGAGCCAGGGATCAACCCCTGTGTCATCTGTCTGTGCAGTCCCTCTGTCTGCACTTCATGCCCGTCCACATGTTGGAGGGAAACCTCTTCAGCAAAATTTGAATTATTTGAAGCTTTCTCTTCTCCCAACCACAGAAAAAGAGGTGTTATCCCCAGGACTCGTATAGCACCCTTGTAAGAGGGATATTTTGACTTTTCATCTGCTCTTCCTGCTGAACCAGGAACTCCTCCATGACTGGCTGTGTGACCTTGGGGAAGTTGCTTAGCTTCTCTGTGTGCCACTTCCCTTATCATTGTGAAATGAAGATAACAGCGTCACCTTGAAGATAAATGAGTTAATACGTGCCTGAAACACTTTGCGTGGTGTCTTGCTTGTAAACATGGTCTAGATTGTTACTCTGATCACTGTCGGGTCCTGTCACAAGGGGCTCTTCATTCGTTTATGGTGGACTGGTGAGTGCACCATCCCTAGCATCCACTCTTAATAAAGACAAGAACTTACCTGCTTCTTGTCACTCCATTCTAGGCCATGTTTACAACTTCTGAGCCTGGTTAGTAGTCACTTAGTGTGCTTAGTATCTCACTGGGCGTCTTTCCTATAACTGCCATCTCCTTAGAAATCACTGGATTGTGGCAGTTGGCTGATTGCAGTGAGTATTTCAAGCTACCTTATATTGCGTGCGATCGTGCACAATGCTGTATGTACATCAGCCATAGTCTTCTCAGTGGTCCTGCAAGAGAAGAGTTATTCTGGCTGGGCGCAGTGGCTCATGCCTGTAATTCCAGCACTTTGGGAGGCCGAGGTAGGCAGATCACCTGAGGTCAGGAGTTCGAGACCCAGCCTGGCTAATACCATGAAACCCCATCTCTACTAAAAATATAAAAATTAGCTGGGTATGGTGGCGGGCATCTGTAATCCCAGCTACTCAGGAGGCTGAGAGGGAAGAATCGCTTGAACCTGGGAGGCGGAGGTTGCAGTGAACTGAGATTGCACCGTTGCACTCCAGCCTGGGCGACAAGAGCGAAACTCTGTCTCAAAAAAATAAAAAGAAAAGAGGTGTTGTTCCCCTTCTGCAGATGAAGAAATTGAGGCTGAGAAGGCAAGTTGCCCAAGATCATGAAGCTAATAAGTGACCTATCCAGGATTCCTGCTGATGCCTAAGCCATGCCGTTCTCCCCCCATAGCAGTCATCTCAGATAGACAACCTTCAGACATTCCCTGTAAAGCCCAAGCCTTTCAGCAGCCTTGGGACTTCCCAGAGTAAGCCTGCCCCTCTCAGGGGTGCACGTCCCTCTCAGGGGTGAACAGGCCTGGGCCGTGCTGCCGTTCACCATCTGTAGCTTCCCATCTGCGGAAGACAGCAGATAGTTAACAGCAGAGAAAGAGACGCCCCACGTTTTCCTCTAGTTAGAGCTGGAGCTTGGCAAACTTCTGGGTTTCAGAATAACGATGTTTTGTTTGGAATGATATGACTCTGACTAAAGAAAACAGGTCTTTGAGGTGGGCACAGCTGCCCAGCGTGCACCACCAGCACTCAGGAGAGGAACTGAATCTCCGTGTCCTCTCTGGCGGTGCCACATATTCCCCAGTAGGGTCTGAGATTCCTCCCGCCGTCCCATCTGGCCTGACCAAGCCAAACCGTGGAATCCCATTCTGATCGGTGTTTCCCAAAGTATATCCTGAAGAACACAAGGCCTGCAAAGTGCTATTTTAGAAAGGGTGGGGGGAGGTTTCTACTTAGGTAAGATTGGAAAACTGCTAGACAGTTACCATGAATATTCACATTTTTAAAGTTCTGAGAAGTCCTGTAGTAAAATATATTTCTTTTACCCTTTCAGCATGGGAATTTTCCAGTCTTACTTAACTGCTTTCCATCTTCACATTACAGTCTAGAATTGGTGATTTTGCTGATGATTCTAGTTTGGTTTTGGATATATTTAAAGAGAGTTCCTTCTCAGGCCCTTTCTTCTTTGTAGCTTTCATTGGATCCTTCTCTTTCTGATGTATAACTATCTTTTTAGCTAACTCCAGATTTTTTCATGTAAGAGCAATGATTTTATGCCTTTTTTGTGCTATTCTAAGATTTAAAAAAATTTTAAGGTTGTAGAAAGGTTGCAATAATAATAGGATGACCTGTACACACTTCGCCCAGATACCTTTATTAAGATTATAGCACATTTGCCTGATTCTTCTTAGTTATTTTTTTTTTTTTTTTTTTGGTCTTCTGAACCATTTAGGAGTAAGTTGTGGCATGACGTCCCTTTAATCTGAATTATTTCAGTGTAAAATTTCTAAGAACAAGAACTTCTATAACCACAATACCGTTATAAAAACCAGGAAGTTAACATTGATGCAGTTCATTGCCTAATCCATACCCTTCTTCCTAATTGCCTCCTTTATAGCAAAAGAATATCTTCATCCAAATCTTCTCTCCCAGCACGTATTCATAATCTTGATCTGCGTTGTGAGTAGAAGCCAGTTCTTGTAGAGCGAGCCTGGGCTCAGCCTAGGCTCCTCACTCATGGTGAGATTCAGGCTATGCATTTTTGGCAGGAACACCCCAGAAAAGTGATGTTGTGTCATCTTCAGTACATCCTCTCCAGAGGCCCTCAAGGTCAATTTGTCTCATTGCTCCTGGTGGTAATTTAGACACTTGATGAAGAAGATGCTGTAGGCCAGATTTCTCCACTGTAAAGCTATTATTTTCCCCTTTGTAGTAAATAAGTATTAACAGTACAGTACTTTGATGCCATGAAAATACTCTTGTTTCTCATCCACCTTTCATTTGCTGGTTTCAGCATTTGTTGAAGATCTTCTCCTTCATTGATTGTTACTACGGTAATTGCCAAAGGGTTGTTTTCGAAGGCAACGTGCCTTTATTTATTGACTGACTTTCTCCTCAAAGAAAGAGCTTTGCCTTCTCCCCTATTAATTTATTTGCTCATTTATCTATAAATAACACTGCAGACTCATGGATTCCGATTTTATGGGTTAAAATTCATTTTGATGCCCAGATTTAGTCATCCTGCCTCCTGTGTCTTTTTGGCATGTCCTTATTATTCTTTGAGTACTTTTTGACATGCAGGCACAAAGTATTCCTACTTCATCCTATAGTTCCCCTGCCCTAATCCTGTAGTCAGGCATATCCCCAAGGAGCCCAGGTTTTTTCCATTGGAGGATGACAATTCAGAATTACCATCTTGGTGCTTGCCTGGGGTGCTGTTGCCACTAGAGGCCACTCAGATGCCAAAGCACTGAAGCACTGTGGCTCCAAGCCTGTGTGTGTGTGTGTGTGTGTGTGTGAGTGAGAGAGAGAGAGTGTGTGTCTGTGTGTGATTAGTGCCAGATTTTAAAATATTTTAGCAATCAACTATTTTCCATTCCCCAGGCTTTTTCTCCTCCGTGACAGCCAGAGTAATCCAAAGGCATTTGTACTCACACTGTGTCATCACCAGAAAATTAAAAATTTCCAGATCTTACCTGTAAGTATTGATGTTCTCAGACCAGTCCTTGTGGTTTTGTTTTCTGGTTTCATTCTTCATGCAATTTTCAAGTTATAAACTGACAAGACCGATAAGTATCAGACAAGACCGGTAAGTTTCAAGCCCACAGGTGAGAAACTTTCAAGAGTTTCTTTACAGGTTTGTCTTTTGAAATTAGAAAACCATTTCCCTAGAAATAATCCTGAAAGTGGCGATAGGGTGCTGAGGCCCCCCTTGAGCCTGTGAGCTCTTAGTTGCAGCTGAAAGGGTACTGACGGGGAGGGTCAAGGTCACAGGAAGGGGAGGTGGAGGAGAATTAGCTGAGGGCCCAGCAGCTGTGAGCACATAGGTCTGGAAGGCAGGAGCTGTGCAGCAGGTTTGCTTGTTGGCTGCTGGAGTCTGAGGAGTCTTGTGATTTGTCCTGGTGTGCACCAGGGCTATCCAAGAAGCGTAAGTGGTGTCCCAAAGAGCAATTATGTTTCTCCTTCCACATGGTCCTTGGATCTAAAGACCTTTGAACAATTCCAAAAACATCATTACAGATTACCTTAAAATCAACACTACTTTTTTTGACAAAGCACTTTATGTTTGATTTGCCTAATGTAGTTTACCTCTTGCTTCAGTATGCCGCAGTTCAATTCTAGTTCATGATCAGAGTGCTAGATAGCGCCTGCAAGAATTCAGTCTAGTTGAGAATACAATACACAAAATTAATAGCAGCTGTTTACGTGACGAATTGATAAATTCTGCAGGTAATGATAATGTTTGTGAAATACATCCTGTGGAACCCAAACTACCGAAAGAGGCTGGCTGGATAGTTTCCTCTCAGAGATTCAGTCTGCATGTCAGCAAAGAAAAAGCTCTGAGAAGGCTTTCATTAACAAAACTCACCTGTTTTACACAGTGGACCCTGGAGTTCTTCAAGCTTATCTGACCCCCAGGACTTTGTTATGATCTCAAGAATCATGTAGTGGCCTGCAGCCATGGGCCATACAGGATGAGGAGGGTGTCTTGCTTAGCTTTTGTGAGCCAGGAGAAGGCAGCGTGCCACACACTGTCTTTTCTGTGGCCACTTGCTTCCTGCTGTGTGCTGACATCCCCACCTTACTCGTGAGGAAAATGAGGCTCATGGCTGTAAGCGGCTTTCGCTGCACCGCGCTGGGGTGAGGAACAGAATCTGGGATTGAGCCCAGCCTTCCCAGCTTCCAGCCAACTTTATATGCAAATACAGGAATTACTATCCTAGGGAAAGTGCCTCATAGATGATCCTTTCTGTTCTTCTACTGCGTTATATCATTCACTCAGTTGTTATAATTCCTTTAGCTCAAAATATAAAATGAAAAGTGATTGATGTTTTGGGCTGCATGAGTAAATTAAAAATAAAAGGAAAGAAGGGAGCTTTCATGGTAGGCAGAGTATGTAATGCCCAAATCCTACAAGTAACAAAAGAACAGCAACTTGAGACTTAGGGCAATAAGTGTGCAGCCTCTGTGTGTGAAAACGGGCTGTGGGATGTGCTATTAGCTCTAGCAGTGGTTTTGGAGTTACGAAGTGGTTCCAAGCTCATTGATTAGCGAAGCCTTAAAGCTAACCTGTTCCCTGTGAACAACGCGACCTCCTCATGCCGCACTGATCTGCACAGTACACTGTTCTGCACTGTACTGCAGTCATGCAATTGAAAACTCACTGAGTTAAAATAGGTGTTAGGAATATGGTTCTCTCTGGGAGATACTGTGGCATTCCCCTGCTTTAACAAAAATAACTGCCCAATATTCAGGGACCTAGGAAGGGAATTTACCTGCGTGAGCTTATTAATCCCTCACAGCCACCCAACAGTTGCTTCATCATGGAGCAGAGTATAAACCCCTGGGGCCTCAGGAGTTGGCTGAGGTTATATAGTGAGGACCCAGGTCTGTGCAGTCTTCATGGGGCATGCTGTGTGCAGTGGGTACTTACAGGTTAACTGGTAAATATAATTCTCACGAGCTGGGTGAACTAGGGGCAAACTTCCAGCCCTTCTCCATGACCACCTCAGGGAGCAGGGGAGCTAGCTGTCCTCAGTGGTCTCCACAGCCCACCCAAAGTCTGTCCCTCGCTCAGGGATGTGGCAGCCCCCAGCACACACCCTCTGCTCCCCCGTCCTTCCCGCCCCTGGTGTTTTCTAGCCTACCTTGCTGTGTGTGTCCCTCTGGAATCAAATCATGGGCAGATGCCGCTGCTGCTGGCCGTGGGCCCCGTTCTCTTCCCTGAGGTGGCGGCCTCTAACCTGGCAAGTGTTCTTGTGTCTCTCCAGTGCGAGGATGATGGGCAGACGTTCTTCAGCCTAGATGACGGGAACACCAAATTCTCTGACCTGATCCAGCTGGTTGACTTTTACCAGCTGAACAAAGGAGTCCTGCCTTGCAAACTCAAGCACCACTGCATCCGAGTGGCCTTATGACCGCAGATGTCCTCTCGGCTGAAGACTGGAGGAAGTGAACACTGGACTGAAGAAGCGGTCTGTGCATTGGTTAAGAACACACATTGATTCTGCACCTGGGGACCCAAAGCGAGATGGGTTCGTTCAGTTGCCAGCCAACCAAGATTGACTAGTTTGTTGAACTTAAACGACGATTTGCTGCTGTGAACCCAGCAGGGTCGCCTCCCTCTGCGTCGGCCAAATTGGGGAGGGCTTGGAAGATCCAGTGGAAATTTGAAAATAAACTGGAATGATCATCTTGGCTTGGGCCGCTTAGGAGCAAGAACCGGAGAGAAATGATTGGAAATGAACTCTTGCCCTGGAATAATCTTGACAATTAAAACTGATATGTTTACTTTTTTTGTATTGATCACTTTTTTGCACTCCTTCTTTGTTTTCAATATTGTATTCAGCCTATGGTAGGAGGGGGATGTGGCGTTTCAACTCATATAATACAGAAAGAGTTTCTAACGGGCAGACTTCAAACTGAGTATGGGTCCCCAAATGTTCCCAGAGGGTCCTCCGCACCCTCTGCCAACTACCGCGGTGTGGATTCAGCTCCCAAATGACAAACCCAGCCCTTCCCAGTATACTTGAAAAGCTTTTCTGTTAAAATAAAAGGTGTCACTGTGGTAGGCATTTGGCATGTTTTGTGGACTCAGTCAAGCAACCACAGTCTGTTAATCATTTCTCTATGCTCAGATGTCAGATCCTCTTGTTATTAGCGTGTCTTGTTCTGCACAGTGCAGGAGACTTTATTCCTTTGGAAAATTCACTGTTCCACAAACAGCAGGCTGAATGGCCTCGCCTCTAGACTGACGTGGGCCAGCCTCCTTGAGACACACCTGGCACCCGTCATCGGCCAGCGGTGGATGCTGCATAATCCACCTAGGTACTTTCAGCCTTGCGTTTCCACGGCCTTCAGCCTGTTCTAGAACGATCACTGCCTTACCCCTGCTGCTGCAGTGGTGTGAGTCGTTTCACGGCTGATGTCCCTCGGGGGATTAAAGGATCTAAAGAGAGAATGGCACCTGGTTGGCTTCGTGCTGTGTCTCGTGGGTTTCCATGGTGATAAAGACAAGGAAACGCTGCAGAGGTCACAGGCACAGGCTGATATTTAAAGATCTTTGCTTGCAGCCCTCCGTCCTGCTGAGAACCCCCATAAGCCAGTGAACGCAGAGCCCCTAGAGGCTCCTCTGCTGGCTTAGGGTGCAGAGTACCTCACGGTGGTTGTGGACATGGAAGAGTTTTGTCAACACAACACTTCCTCCCTGCTCTGGGAGATGAGTCAGACGGTGGCTTGAGTTGTCACTTGGTCCCCTCCGCCCCTCGGGTGGCCCCCTTTGCCATGTCCCCTTAGCTTAGTGATCAGGTGTGAGAGTGGCCATTTCCTTACCTTTAATCCCTGCAAAGCAGAAAGGACTCCCTTGACAAGGAACAGACTACCGTGGTGAGCAGAACGATTTCCTTTTTCAAGACAACACCCGCCTGGCTTCTCTGAATCTGTGCTAGCCACGATATTGCCCCAAATCCGCTCCCACTGAAGTGCTCCCTAAGAAACAGCATTTCTCTGCTCGTCAGTCAACCCCCATAGCCTAGAGCAGTGTCACGAGCTTCAGTAAGGCCAATCAGCTGGAAGTCAGTGTACCATATAGTAACACTGTATTTCAGTTTACAGACCACACTCTAGCTGTTTTCCATGAAAGGTATACAAATAAAGAATTTTTTAGCAAAACATGTTTTTAACCATCAGTGCTCAATTGCATTTTCTTCCTTTCGCAGCCAGTCAGTCTTTCGAACTATTGACAGTGAGATAATTCTCGTGTTCACACCTGGCGGCAGGCTTCACTATAGGGACGGACATTGCAGTTACACCGCGATTCCTTTCTCTTCACTGGCTCGAGGTAAACACTTTCCAAGGAAAAACAACTCTAGGATTTCTTTTTTCTGTGTACGTAGACCAGTCCCATCAGTGTATAATCTCTCTCTTTCACGCCTCTCTCCAATAGACAGCTTGTATTTGCAGTATTTCATATTTATAAATATGCGTTTATTTAAAAGGAGAACAAAAGCTTGACTCTGATTCACAGTTTTGTATGTAGCTGGTTTGACGTAGTCTTTTGTATTTTCCCTGCCGAAGTGAATTGTTGGAGAATGTAAACCGCCTCCGTGCGGCAGCAGACTTCCTAAGGCCCCAGCTCGCTAGCCTCGTGCTGGGCGGCTGGGAATTCCACCTGAGAACAAGTCCCGCAAACCGGGGACGGAAGGACATTTGACTTTTATTTTTGTATTTAATTGACATGAATGTAAAGGGGACAGCTCAGGGTTGTTTTGGAGCCTGTTGACTTTGTATCTCTGCCTGTGATTTTCTTTTCTAAATGAAACTCCATGTAGCAACCGGGATGAAGTTGAGAAGGAAAACGCCAAATGCTTTGGTTATTAGAGTTTAATAGGTAAGCTCTGTTACACTAGGTGTTAGAGTTCCAGAATGTTCTTTTGTTTGCTAAACCTTGAAGAAACATGTGCCTCAGCCTAGATGTTTTGTCTTCTCTTTTCTGCACTTAATACCTGACAGTGTGACTGATCTCTGCGCCTTTCCGGGGGCGGGCCAGCTGGCGGTAGATTTGTGATGTCACAGTGCAAACTGCAGCGACTGTAAATCGGCCTGGCGTATATAAACGTTTTCAGGGAATGCAGAAGGTATTAATGAAGAGACAAAACCTTTATTCCATGTGCTTTGCTTCATTCTGTACATAGCTCTTTGGCTCGTGAACCTAATTGTAAACTTTCAGGTATTTTTGTACAAATAAGGGACTGATGTTCTGTTTCTTGTAATTAGAAATAAACATTAATACAGTGTTCTTCATTTTCTATTGCTGGTGATGTCTTGTTTCTATATTTTGAAACACTGGCCAATCACGAGGTCAGGAGTTCAAGACCAGCCTGACCAACATGGCGAAACCCCATCTCTACTAAATATAAAAATTAGCCGGGCGTGGTGGTGTGTACCTATAATCCCAGCTACTCAGGAGGCTGAGATAGGATAATCACTTGAACTCGGGAGGCGGAGGTTGCAGTGAGCCAAGATTGCACCATTGCAGTCCAGCCTGGGCAACAGAGCAAGACTCCTATCAAAAAAACAAAAAACAAACAAAAAAAAACACTGGCCTGTCATCCATTGAAAACCTTTTGAAATGACTTAGAATATTAAAAACACACTTCTTACCACTAGCTAGAGACTACCACAAGGACTCCATAGCTGTTTGGGACGTGTCACACACAAGCTTGCCCAGCCCTGGTGAGACACCAGACTCTTGGCTGCTTAGTGCTCCAAGGTGGTGGCAAGACATTCTCAGCCGACCTCTCCTCCCCCATAAAAATCACAGACCTCAGAAGGTTTCAGAAACCGTCAGATACCCACACAGGCTTAAGAAAGACCTTAAGAAACTCACATTCACCCTTGAGCCCAATTGGTGTTTTTTCCACTGCAGCGCGACAATTAAAATGTCAAGAGCCTAGGTTTTCTAAGCAGGCAAACAACTGACAAAGTAAGAATAGATGCCCATGATTGTTGCTTCTCCGGCCCTCGCCTAGGAGGATCTTGGCTGACCTACTGACGTGACATTTGGGCCAGACTTGCCATCTCTCGCCTCCTCCCTGTCACACCCTGGTCAGCTGAAGGGCGTGTGCATGTTGTCGCCAGCTAGCCTGGTCTACCAGCAGGAGTGCCCCTGTGCTGTGTGGACTGTCCCGTCATTTGTTTTCAGAATCTGAGTTCTCAGTTTCTGGAAGCCCACCCTCAGCTTCAACAGACAAGGAGAGCCCAGGGCAGGTGGGGACCCACCGGGCCAACCGCAGGTGTTGATCGTAACACCAAAGAAGCTTGTAGGCACAGCCACACAGAGCCAGCTGATGGCCTCCCAAGAGCACACCCGTGGTACAACACGAGAATGCATCTCACTGCCTCCAGCACATTCTTCGTCGGTTTTCACAGCATATTTTGAGTGATTAGTAAAATTATAAAAAGGGATTTTGTTTAATGATAAAAGCCTTAGCTTCTTAAGTGTAAAAAGGTAAAATATTCAACATCTTCCGATTGTAGAATGGTAAAGGCAGCATTGCCCCTTTTCATTTTGGAAGTTATACAACCTTAAGGGCAGGAAACAAAGATGAAAAATCTGTCTTTGACAAAATTGGGCTTCATCTGCCAGCCCCAGTGACCATCCACAAGATGGGCTGCTTGGGAGGCCTGCAAAGATCAAGCAAGGGCCACGTGACAGGGTGTCCATGGCTGCTGGCCTCAGCACAGCTAGCAAAGGGCACTTCAGGATGAGTAGTGCCCCTCGGGGAACTCGGGGTCCTCTGGAAACAAGGAGAAAGACACTGGGGTTGGTGGCAATTGGTGTCATTTTTTGTTTTTTAGGACATGGTGGGCGCTTCTGAGCTGTAGCTACAGCAAAGTCTCATTTGATTTCTGGAAATGTTTTGTGAATTGCAGCTAAATACATTTTTCGTTCTTTTTGATTTTTCTTTTTAGTTTGTTTCTTATTGAGGTAAAATATACATACATAATTTACCATCTTTACATTTTAAGTGTACAGTCCTTACAAATGTTTCCGCTTCCTCCCCTGCCCCACTCCACTTCCCAGCCTCTGGTGGCGTCTACTCTCTATCTTCTTGAGATCCACTTTTTTAGCTCCCACAGAGGAGTGAGAACATGCAAAGTTTGTCTTTCTGTGCTTGGTGTATTTCACTTCAAATGGTGTCTCCATTTCCCTCCATGTTGCTACATCTTTGCAAAAAAGATGGCAATTGTGTGTTTGCTCCCTTTTGTCAACCTCCCCTAGCATTTGCGTTTTCTCCGGCCCTGCAGCTCTCTTGGCGTTTGAATTTGAGTTGCTGTCTTGGTCCTGTCCTCCTCCGTATCCGTGATGGTGTTCCAGTAGGGTCTGTTCTCCATGCTGTTTCCATTCGCCCTTCCCTGCTAGGCTGGCTTCACTTTTCTCTGACGTTTCTCTTCAGAGCTCTGCCAGCTTGCTTTATCTAGTGCCTGAGCTCTTATAGCTCTGCTTTGACCTTTGGTGATGTGATTAAGAAAGACCTCAAGAAACTCACATGCTTTCTTGTTTTTTGTTTTGTTCTTTTAAGTTCACGACATTGTGTTTGGTTGCAGTTTTAATCTACTCACGGCTATGTTTTTCTACAGAATGTTATTTGCTACCATTTTTTTTTCTATTATTTTCTTTTGTCTTGGGGTATCTACACAGAAGATCAGTCCTGGTTCTTTAAAGAAGATGAGCTCTTCTTGGACTAGCCAATAGACAGGAAGTTTGGGTAGGGAAGTCCACAAGGGCTATGTTGGATGCTACCAGGACAAAAAAAAAAAGTAAACAAACCCTATGTCCAAAGCCTGAGTATGAGAGTTTCAAGAACTTTACAACATAAGCCATTAAGACTGCCAACCAACTCACTCCTCTCACTTCCTGTGGTCATACCACCTTCACGTCCAGCCCTTCCACCACTTCCAGGTGAAACTCCGGAAATAACAGCTGGTAAATTTATAATAGAACCACATTTTCTCATTGGTCATCACTGTATACTCATATGTAGGCACACAGATCCACTCTGCTATAACTGTATACTCACACCTGGGCACACGGATCCACTCTGCCATAGCTGTATACTCACACCTGGGTACACAGGTCCACTCTGCTGTAGCTATATACTGACACGTGGGTACACAGGTCCACTCTGCTGTAGCTGTATACTCACACGTGGACACAGATTCACTCTACTGTAGCTATATACTCACAGGTAGATATAGATCCACTCTGCTGTAGCTGTATACTCACAGTGGACACAGATCCACTCTGCTATAACTGTATACTCACACCTGGGTAAACAGATCCACTCTGCTGTAGCTGTATACTCACACGTGGACACACAGATCCACTCTGCTGTAGCTGTATACTCACACGTGGACACGGATCCACTCTCCTGTAGCTGTATACTCCCACGGGACACGGATCCACTCTCCTGTAGCTGTGTGTTCACATGTGGGCACAGATCCACTCTGCTGTAGCTGTATACTCACAGGTAGACATAGACCCACTCTGCTGTAGCTGTATACTCACACGTGGACACAGATCCACTCTGCTGTAGCTGTATACTCACAGGTAGACATAGATCCACTCTGCTGTAGCTATATACTCACAGTGGACACAGATCCACTCTGCTATAACTATATACTCACACGTGGACATAGATCCACTCTGCTGTAGCTGTATACTCACACGTGGACATGGATCCACTCTCCTGTAGCTGTATACTCACACGTGGACACGGATCCACTCTCCTGTAGCTGTATACTCACATAGGACACGGATCCACTCTCCTGTAGCTGTGTATTCACACGTGGGCATGGATCCACTCTGCTGCAGCTGTATACTCACACGTAGGCATAGATCCACTCTGCTGTAGCTGTATACTCACACCTGGGTATACAGATTCACTCTCCTGTAGCTGTATACTCACGTAGGACACGGATCCACTCTCCTGTAGCTGTGTATTCACACGTGGGCATGGATCCAGTCTGCTGCAGCTGTATACTCACAGGTAGACATAGATCCACTCTGCTGTAGCTGTATACTCACACCTGGGTATACAGATCCACTCTCCTGTAGCTGTATACTCACGTAGGACACGGATCCACTCTCCTGTAGCTGTATACTCACACGTGGACACACAGATCCACTCTGCTGTAGCTGTATACGGATCCACTCTCCTGTAGCTGTATACTCACACGTGGACACACAGATCCACTCTGCTGTAGCTGTATACTCACACGTGGACACGGATCCACTCTGCTGTAGCTGTATACTCACGCCTGGTTACACAGATCCACTCTGCTGTAGCTGTATACTCACACATGAACACAGATCCAGACTGCTGTAGCTGTATACTTATGGATGTGCACGCAGATCCTGTGAGAGCTGTGGCAGAGATCTCTATTGGGAGCACAGAAGTGAACCTGAGTCCCATGGGAGATTGGTCTGGAAGGTGTGTGTGAATGAATGTGAGGGTCATGTGACCTCAGGCAGGAAGAGATTATGCAGCCTACATAGGTGTGTTCTGTCCAACATAATACCAGTCACACGAGACTATTTAAACTTTAATTATAAAGTAAAATGAGAAGTGTAGTCCTTGGTTGCACCAGCCCACATTTCTAGTTCTCAGTAGCCACACGTGGCTGGTGGCTACTGTGTTGGAGAGTGCTGATCTAGAACAGGTCCATCATCGGGGGAAGTTCTGTCAGAGAATTCTGGCTTAGGTGAGCAGCCATGAGAGCCTAAATTAGAGAAGTGGTAATGGATGGTTGGAATGAGGAGGGGGTTATGTGAGAATCGGTCTTTGTGTCTGGAGGATGCTCTGAATTGGTGGAGCCCAACTCCAGATTCCAGGCTGAGGGTCCCTCCACTTGAGTGGCACCTCTGTCTCATCCACAGATAAGACACACTCACCTCACAACCAGTGAGCAACTACCCACTTCTGCTTGCTTTCCAATTGTAACTGAATGCCCACGGCTTCGTGTCATAAATGTGTACTGTATACAAAACTCAAATGTGTCTGCGTAGCCTCCACCTCCACAACCTCCCTAGGAAAATGATGCATCCCAACTGGGTATCACCCTACTCAATAAACAAATGTCCTGCAGTGAGCCAGAGGTAGAAGGTGTCTATTTCCCAAGTTAGTCACCATTACTGTGAGCATACTGTCATTTGAGCATCTCCCTGGAAAGTGGAGTACAGTTATATTGTTTAAGTATAAAGTGTGAAATGTAAGCAACAAGTTCATCTGGTGCTTGTC